TGTTATATTTACCCACTAAATATGGGTAATATAGATTTTATATTTAGAAACCAAAAAATGGTTTGGGTAAATATAAAATTTTTAGAATATTAAAAATCTCTTATATTTACCATTACTTACCACCCATAATCATGCCATAAAGATCATGATTGGTCTAAACTTTGTCCTGATCTTTTACGAGCGATCCTCGAAAACTCAAGCTTGAGCTTTATTGATTTGCAAAGAGCAAAAACCGTTTGTTCATATTGGTATCACGTTTGAAGAACATGCGTGAAGCCACCTCCATATCCATGGGGGATCATATTATTAGGTGATTGTTCAATGTTGTACGATCCTAAAGAAGACAAGTTTTACGAAACAAAATGAAAGAGAGGTTTCTGGAGCAACAAAATACGAGCTGCTGGAACACAGGCGGAGCTGTTCCAACACGTGGAGAAAAGTAAGATTGAGCTCTTATTGAATTAGAAGCCCAATTATGAGAGTGGTTAAAAGCCCACATGACATGAAACGTGAGGGTTTTGTGGTGGTAGTATAAAAGGCAAGAGGCGTTGACAAAAAGAGTCACGCGCCTAGGATTCCTTTGTGAGATGCACACATGTGTGTGTGGCGTCGTCCCACCCTATTGATGGTGGTTTGTATATGAAGATTGCAACCATTGAGAAGACAGTGTTGCACCGGTGCTGCTGGTTGGTTGTCAAGCATGCGGGCTTGATACCTATCTTCATATTTTGTCCATGTAGAAAAGAGTGGTGGTATGCCATATAGCAATTGTAGGTTGCGGCTTTTTCTAATGGATTGATTCTGGACTAGATCCCGGAGATGTAGGAAAAACCGAACCTCGTGAAAAAACTCTATGTGTTATTTATTTTATGCTCATAAATACTCGTTACAAACACAAACGTAGAGATCTAGCCACAAAACGCTTTTTCAATTGGTATCAGAGAGGGACTCAGAGATATATTCTTATTTTCGGATATGATCCTGGATTCGGTATTGGTGGTTGAGACTGAAGAGCAAAGTATGAGATTAGGGCTCATGTTGTTCATACCAATGAAGAAGAAAATTGAATGAGCCTCTTCGTTTAATAAGAAGTGAGAGAGATCAGGTCGTGTTTAAGATAGTCAAGGAGATTCAAAGGATGGGATAGAAGAACTAGCTCAGTTATGGAGGAGGAGAAGATCTGAAGAAAAAGCCAAAAGAAAATATCAGCTTCGACCAGTCACTTTACGGGCTATTTCGCAAGCAGACCATAATGAACCAGAAATCGATCTTTACACCGTTGGAAAGATAACGGAGTCAGCTTTCTAGAGGAAAAAAATGAAAGTCAATTCTGATGTAAAATCTGGGAGTTATGGATGTTAGTCTCCAGCGAAGAAATTGATCAATTTTGCAGTGTAATAGATGTTGGAACAGACAAGATAATGTTGGAACATGGCCAAGAACAGATGTACATTCTTAAAAAAAATGGTTTTCACAGAAGGAGAGCGTGATGTACGTCCTTGTTCCTTGATTTTCTTGAGAGGTTTTGAATGAATGTGTTAACCAAGATGGGGGAGATTAATGTGCCGATGCATCTCCAAAAAATCCCAATGAAAAGTTTCAAGAAGTGAGTATCAAGAAAGTATTGTCGCTATCACTGAGGAGGGAGTCGATGCTGAATCTAGAGAGTTTGACGATGAGCTTGGATGCA